CGCAGAATGCCAGAACTAAATCCAAGATAGAGCAGCTCTATAGATTATTAAAGACGAGACGTGATACTATATATTCCCATAATAAAATATCCAATATTTACTGTTTTCTAAAATTTTAAACATCGGGCCACGAACTTTTGGTACGCCCTAAGTAAATCGATTTATCAAACAGTCTAATTTACTATTACATTGTTGAATTAAGACACATCTAAAGAAAAAAAGAGTCATTTCAGAATAATATTTTTTCTTTGAATTGGTCTTAATTCCACAACTTAATGGTACGTTCAAATCAACATTCAAAAAATAATTCTAAAGGTAAAAATTATTTTATATATTGACCTGAACTTACTCTTACATTGTTGCATGAAGACAAATCTAAAACAACAAGGATCACGTTGTACATGAAATGATTCCTTTTTTCTTAGAATGCGTCTTAATTCAACAGAGGTAATAATAAGTTAGACTTATTGTATAAAATAATTTTTCTCTTTAGAATAATTTTATGAATTCATCTGAAATTAATAATAAATTGTTGAACTGAGAGAAATCTAGCGAAAAAAGAAAATCGCTCTGTACAATGATTCTCTTTTTTCTTTAGCTCTATCTTAATTCAACAATTCAAAGGCGGTTCAGCAGAATGTTTATAATTATTCAAACGAAAAAAAGCAGCAGTTATTTTATTCATTCAGCTGAACTTACCATTCAATTGTTCAATAAAGATAAATCTGAAGAAAAAAAAAGGAAAATGAGTTAGCATAGCCTCTATGGAGCTGAAAAGTGATGTTGATATACTTTTTTTAACGTGATTATAATGATAAAGAATACGTATATTGAAAATTTTCTCATACATAATAGTTGTTGTCTAAGATAATCCATGAAAAAAAAGCCAATCTGTCTTACTTAGTTTAGCATTTTGAACTGATTTCTTTCTTTTTACTTGCGCTGTATTTTTGTTTGCATTGTTGCTACTCAATCCTTTTTTTCGTATTCTTTTTTCTTAATTTAGCAATATGATCATTATAACCGTTAAACGGACTAAAAAATAAGCCTCTTATACGGCTTTACTATATCTACAGCAGGTAACAACAAGCTGTTATATATTTTATAAGAGGACAAATAATAATATTGACAGTTTTTCAAATTTACGACTTAATATAATTAATTTCTTTGTTATGATCAGCAGATGACGACTGTGGCGAATCAATGCACCGCTACCTATCATTCTTAGCATATTGCATATAAATTTTCATCTGCGCAAAAATCAAAAGCTGCACTTTTGATAACATTGACGAAAGTATTCTATCGAGTCACATTTTCAGGGAGGCTTCGCAATGCTGTAGAGCTGCCGGAGTCTTCTCGTTCAGTGCTTGTTACTGTTGCTACTGAACTCAAGCAATGAAGCTTGACGCCTGCTGTCCATGATTGTTAAGATCTGTAACGAGAAAGAGGGATAGTACTTAATGTGGGAATAGGAAGACAGCAGCAGCGAATCCGGAAAACGTCGACTTACAACTTGTTTACTTTTCTCTTCGAAAATATATGTGAGTCCCACAAAAATTGAAAATTTCACTGATTAAGCTGATTAATTTTGTTTTGAATTTATTGAAATTGGATGAAAAAATCGATTATCATTGGTACAGAGAGAATAAAATTTGGCCAAATTTTTTATTTATCACAGAGAAAAAAATAATATTATTGGTTTTTGCACAATTTTTCATCCATTATGATCGAAAATAAAAACAAAATTAGCTGCAATTATACGTACACATAATTCCTGTTATAAAAACCATAGAATAATCTACTCTTTAGCATAGAATACAATACCCTGTTATGGAAAACGTATAGTAACAGACCATTCTACATAAAAGACGAAGCTCTTTTACAGAGCAACTACAATAATGAACCCTTTTCGTGAAAAAGAACAAAAAAACAATCCTAATCAAAGAATAATTAATCCTTTCTGTCAAATGCTAGAGTATTGAACCCTTATAGATATAATATCGTAAACCTTTTTTTATGAAATCGTATGAAACTAAATCCTTAGGCGTAGAATCACAAACCATTCTTTTTGAAATTCCAGCATAATACGACTTTTTTTAGTAATCATAAGCCATTCTTAATTCATATGCTCTTCTTTTCATAAACTCTCGAAGGATTTATGAAAAATTGTATATAGTGCGCAGGTTTATTATTATACTCTTTTTTTACAGTATAAATGTGCATAAACACTACACTGAGAGAAAGATAGTGTGTTGACAAAGCTTCTCATTGTGTACGCCATCTATCACTGTCTATTTGAAGCTCTGTGAAAAGAACACCCACACCACATTCACCTTCCGGACAAAATGGAGAAAAACAATTTTTTTTAATGCTGTCTAAAAGAACGATTGAATCGCCGTCGATAATCTACAAAAATACTTATATTAGCTTCTTAATCAAAACAAGACATCATGTACTCTACCTCATTTTCAGTTCACATATTCATACAACTTTGAAAACAAAAACAAACATGAATATTACAGTAAAGATCCATTTCAATCGGTCTTTATGTTGATATAATCTTGCTCTAAAACTGTATACTTACGATAAAATAAAGAATGATAAATATTGATTCAAAATATGGTGTGTGCGTGAAGTTTCGTTCTGTTTGACTATGTTATTGAGTTAATTCATATTAAATGCCATATATTCTCAAAATTTCTTTAGACCCGTTTATATCAGAGATCTTGAAGAAAACTTGGACGTAGTATCAATCAAATATTGAACCGTTAAACTCCAGCTAAAGACAGCATTATTAATGATCTACTTTTACGTCAATATATCCAATTTCGGGCATGATCATCAAGCCACATTAAACTTTGTCAGCATAATTCTTTTTTCCACGCGTGCAATTCATTCAACAAGTGTTTATTAATGTACCCCAAGAATAAAATCACCATGTAATTTGATTAGCCTTCTTTTGTACTACTGTTACTATGTTGCTTCTTATGCAAGAATTTCGTTCATTAAGTTTTGCACAGTATCTCTTTTTATATGTTTTTCACATTATCATGTTTTAGCATTTCATATTCGGAACTTAGATTCAGTTCGCACGCATGTCTCTTGCTCTTTTTGTTAGGTGGCAAGTAAATTATTATTTCATTCGCCATAGGTAAGACAAGTTAGGGATGTAGATAACTTAAGTACATCTCAAAGGCTTACCTATATCTTTGAATGAATATCAGTATTATTACGAATATGAGTGATAAAAATGTTTATGTGCTGACGTCAATGAAATATACGTAACCATAGCAGTAAGAAGTTTTTGTAGTCTTACTTACTCATTCATATAGAAAATAAGTGAAGATAACGCGATCCAACGCAACTGATCCATATATATAGCGCTGCATTAATCATCTACACAGCGATTGTTCTTTGGCCAATATCAATGACAAAACTTTCCATCATTTTACAATTTATTATCTCATCTGTGGTGATTGAGAATAGTAGAGCTATCTCGAGTCCTCTAGCACCTTTTACCACATACAAACATTCGATTGAATTACAGAAAAATGTTGCTGATCTCTGGTGGACAGTCGATGACAATGAACGAGAGATCACATTCGAACTTCATATGAATACGACAGGATGGATTGCATTGGGTATTAGTCCAGGTAGATTTCTTTGTTTCTATTAAATTTTCAGCCCTTAATTTACGATCTGATTGCATTCAGCTGGTGGCATGAAAGGTGCCGATATCGGTGTGGGATGGGTCGATCAGACAGGCAGTGCACATTTTCAAGTAAAACAAACTCCTATATCTTATACTAAGTGATCTAACTTATATATCTCAAGGACCGTCATGCATCTGCTAATGGACGTCCTATGGTTGATAATACGACGATTGATTGGTTCGCTGTTCAAGGTCATGAAGTGAATGGATGGACAGCCATTCAATTCAAACGCTTGCTAGATACTTGTGACATCATGGATGTTCCAATCAAGGTACTCTCATCTCTCTTGAAATAGGAAAGTGACTTCGACTACTGAGCGATATAATGATGAGAAATCTTCACAAACAAATGAGATCCCCACTCAAAAAAAGTCGTAATTACAACAACTATTAGTGTGTGATAAGGTATAGCTAGTTTTTTTCAGTGGCACGTTTTTGCAAAAACAGTTACGAGGTGAGATCCCTACGAAACTGTACTACTAGATACAGATGAGGACTAGTGGACATTGAAACATGCAAAAATACGGAATTTGTCAACATGCAAATATCAGGATTCAGAATTCAGCGCGTCAAACTACTGAATCGAAGTGACGCTACTGACTACTCGAAGAGATCATTCGAATGAGAATTATTTTATAATACGAACACACTAGTGGATAATCTAGCTTTCCTTTTTACACAATCGTGAAGCATGTGTTGAATGCGAGTACAGTTTTGATCACTTAATACTATTCTTTTAATATAATCAACAATCAAGTTGTTCACTTCTAAGCTTTTAATCTATCAATACTTAGTCTGGTACCAATAATCTTATTTTTGCTTATGGCTTGACCGATCCTGTTCCATCAGGGCCAAATGGTGAAATCACTTATCATGAAAATCGACGTGGTTCACGTACTCTTCCACTGCGATCATATGCTGATCCACCATCAGAAGATATATTTGCTGGACTTGACTATGTTGAATTTCGTTTGAATAATGTATGTCACATTTCAATGTATTATCTAAATCATTATTCTTTACATCGATTCAATCTTTTTTTCTTCAGTATGTGGTTCCACCAACTGATACAACATATCATTGTAAAATATACAAAGCTCCGAGTAACTATTCAGTCAAACGACACGCTATTGGTGTATGTATTATTTTCATATAATAACTTTTATTTTTGTCTCATTTTACATAGCATAAGACAATTGTTGATTCGGCCAGTCAAGATCTTGTTCATCATCTACTCATGTATGAATGTGATTCAACAGCTCAGTTTGATGATAATAACTTGCCTGATGGTTTATGTGATCAAATTTATCAACAATTAGCACCATGTGCTTCGAATATTGCAACTGGTTGGGCTGTCGGTGGTGACTATGTAAGATGGAAAAGATTTTCGAAATAAAAAAAAAGAGCAAAGAAAAACCCTATTTAACATAGATGGTTGCATTTCCAAAAGAAGCAGGCTATCCAGTAGGAGGTGATTTTCCCATCAAATATTATATGATCCAAATGCACTATGACAATCCAAATCTACTTTCGAGTATGAAATACTATTTATATTCAATCGANGTTCCATAAGACATCAGTAGAAAGCGTGTAAATTTCTGCGCAAGATAGGCTAGTTTTGCCTTGTCAGAGTTTAATTTCAAAAGACTTAATAAGATGTCTTTTTGAATATCGCCTACGTGTCGTATTTTTCCAACAGAATGAGACATCGCTTTGTCTAATTTGTGAGATCATGTTTTCAATTTTTTTCGAATTAATTTACAAAAAGCAAAACTAGCCTATCTTGCGCAGAAATTTACACGCTTTCTACTGATGTCTTATGGAACAAATTATATGCTTTTTTCTGTGAAATCAAAGGCTTTTCTCATAAAAACAGACATTTTTCACATAATCTCTATGGAAACAGATGTTTCGAATATCTTTTCATAATTACTAAAAAATTGAAAGTAGTTTGTCAAAAAATGTACAATCTATGCAAGTTTTGATTCTCTATCCAATAATATACTTTAAATTTAATTTTGCTACATTGAAGAAGGGAAAATTTAGTTTTCTCCAACTACATATTGATAGTTTTGAGATTTAACTTTTCTAACATTTAATTTCTTAAACGATAGAAAAATAAAATTTGTCTTCGCCAATCTATTTTGTCAGGATATAACTGAGTACCTCCTCTTTCGAATGGATCCTTAAAATAATCATTTGAGTTGGTAAAATTAGCATTAATTCAATATTTTTATATTTAGAAGATGGGGAGGTCTTATAATTATGAGACAGGGGAGACTGAAAGTATTTTGAATTTATTCATTGATGCTAATTGATCGGATTCAAAGCGATATGGCGCATGATAGACTGCTATTGTGTGCCCATGAATATGATATTAGATTGGAAATGAAAGCTTCTTTAGTTGAAGAAATCTTTCTTGTTTTCAAAACTCAGGGCGTCTTATAATTTTGAGAGCCCCAGTACAAAATTTAATTACTTCTAAATGTAAATAATTTGCATTTGATTTATATTTTATTTGGTTATAAATAAAAATTAAATTATTCTATTTCTTTTTGATATTTCATCGCAGTCAGGCGACTAGCGGAAAAAAGCATAAACATGAGTCGAAATTTTACTGAAAATAAAATCGTAAGAAGCGCATATGTAAACGCGTTGATAGCGCCTTAGATTTTTGGCCGGATATATTCGTTCGAAAACTTCAACTCGTTGTGAACACATAAAAATGTACATTTTTGACGATTTGTTTCTCGATAAAATTCGACTTATTTTTACGCTTTTTCTCTGTTGGTTTGACTGGGATGAAATATCAACACGAAATAGAATTATTGCTCTTTATGTATAATTTAATAAAGTGTAAGTTAAATGCAAATTATTTAAATTTAATTTTTTGAGTCCCAAATTAATTCGGTTGAAATGAATTGATGAAGATTGTGATAGTAACATATTCTGGATTCTGAAAAATGTATGACACAGGTAACTGGCGCGAGCGTATGTAATTTATACTCATTGTAGGCTTTTATGTGAATTTAATTACATTTGAATACAAACTTTAAGGAATATTCGAGAGCATTGTACAGGACTGTTCCGTAATAGCTAAGACCCAGAGGAGAATGTCAATTGAAAGGTGTTTGCTAAATTTGATCAGATTTGATAGGGGAAGGGGAACTTGACATTTGCTTTGGGAATATGTGAACAAAATAATCAATAAAAGGCTGGAACTTCTCTAGGGAAAAAATTAAAATTTTTCAAGATTAGAAAAGGGATCAGTCCTTGATCGGGATATCCCTGACATTTTAGAATATTCGCTACAAACTGCTATATATCTTTTTTATAGGCAATATGACAGAAATTCACAGCATTCTCTATTCACACATTTTCTTGGGTATATTGTAGAATATTCTAGAAGATTTTCCTTAAAGTATCTTATGTTTTTGCTGCATAAAGATCGAGAACCTTGTTGAAAAGAATTTCGAGTTTTTGCATGACATTCTAAAAATTATTCATTGTCAAATCATCTATTATCGTTAAGTAAGTTCCAACACTTTTACCGAACAGCACCATATAGGCGTATCTACCTATTATCTAGCTGCTTTTTCATTGTTTCATTTCGAGAGATTACGCATCAATTTTTATAAATTATCAGTTGGGAAAATAATTATAAAGCATGTGTAGCGTTTTCACCAGTATGGAACTCAAAGGGTTAAAATAAACAAAATAGCCGACAATTTAAATTTATTTTTAATTAACAAGAAAATAATTTGCCTATGATAGAATTTTTCACTGATGTAGAAACACCTTGAAAAAAAGCTATTCGAATCTTGACGAACTGAATCGAAGGCAAAGATCTTGAACATCCAACGAAAGATCTTTGTTCTCAGAATAAGAGAAGTATCACAATTTTTTAAATACAACACATAGGGAAAGTTTTCACAGAAGACAGTCTATTTGTTCTTCTGTATAAGCATCCGTCGAAGAGTGCACTGACCGTATTAGTTTCATCAATTGACATATTTTTCTCTCTAGATAAGGCATCTCTTGGAAGTTAGCACGAGTAAGAAAAGGTGTCAAGAAAAAAGCATTTAGACCGATGAAGTCGAGCTGATTTTACCTTATTCATAAATTATAATCTACTGCAAATAAATCTGAAATAGTGATATGAGTACCATTCATACGACTTACATTTCTTTCTATGAGAAGCTTTCAACGGTTATCTACTATTCTAACATCTTTATATGACTGATATTTCGGGAGAGAACACTTTGATGCTTCATTTTCGCTTCTGAACTATGTATTATTTTCTAATCGATCTATGCAATGCAACAATCTTCAATGATTGGTATGTAACGGATACGATAGAAAGAATGACAGTCTCAGTATTTTCAAAATAACTTCTTCAGTTTTTTTTCTTTACAAGCGAAGCTTGCTTCCCAGATCTATTATACAATTCTATACTAGATGTGCATCGAAAGATTTTGCGAAGAAATCTGAGGACTGAAATTCTGCTAGAATCTTCAGCATGCTACGAAGGGCCAACTTTCCAAACCTTTTGAATATAAACTTAAAAATAAATTTTACGATAATGGAGTGTGCCGCTGTGGATGTTACTATGTATCTTTTCTTCACTCACACGCACAACCTATTGAGCGCAATAACACTCAAGTCATAGTGGAGATGAAAATTAAAAGGCATTTGGAAAGAATAACAATACAATGAACGATTTTGTAGGGTTTTTACTATCTTGTTTTTGTTCACAGCTGTAATTTTCAATTTAAACTGTAGGTACTCTAAAAAGTATCGGAACCCTTAAGGCCACTTTCACCCTTTCTCAGAATCGATTTTCTCTCAAGCACATGCAAATTATATGAATTTTTCAGAGTATATTGGAACTGTAGTAGAGAGATTATGGTGAAACATTCAGCTCTCTAACATGACGTTTGAAGGAGATATTCACTAAACAAGAGTCAACAATGATGTATGTGCTAACCCAAAATTCTCTGCGAGTCTTCAATCTATACATTGAATTTGTTTTTATTTGAAAGAGCATGCTGAGATGCAGGAAATGACAGAGCTCTTTTTTTTTTAATAAACGTTTACTTTTTAAGCAGAGAAGATGGATAATAAGTTCAATGACCCAAAACACTTCCATGTTTTCGGAGTTTTCTTAGTTATTGAACTTGCTGTCTTTCCTTCATTTAAAAATGAAGAATTTAAAAACAAAGACTCGATATTGCACTTCATCCTCCCATGCTTTTTCAAACAGAAAACCGAATGTATAGAATGAATGCTCACAGAATTTTGAGTTACAAAATAACATATTCTTGGCCCTTTTTTAGTAAATGCCTCTCTCAGGCGTCATGTTATAGGGCTGAAAATTTTTATCATACTCTCTTGATTACATTCCCAATACATTTTGGAAACTTCATGCGATTTACATGTGCCTGAACCAAAGTCGGCTTTGGGAAAGGGTGCGAGTCACCTAAAGTGTCCCGATACTTTTTGGAGTATCTGCATTTATAGCGCTGCATTAGTTGTCTACACAGTGACTGTGTTTTTAGAACATACGAATGGCAAAACTTTGCATCATTTTACAATTTATTATTTCATCTCTGGTGATCGAGAATAGTAGAGCTATCTCGAGTCCTCTAGCACCTTATACGACATACAAACATTCGATTGAACTACAGAAGTATGTAGCCGATCTCTGGTGGACAGTTGATGACAATGAACAAGAGATCACATTCGAACTTCACATGAAAACGACAGGCTGGATTGCATTGGGTATTAGTCCAGGTAGATTTCTTTGTTTCTATTAAATTTTCAATTCTTAATTTACGATCTGATTGTATTCAGCTGGTGGTATGACAGGTGCCGATATCGCTGTAGGATGGGTCGACCAGACAGGCAGTGTACATCTTCAAGTAAAACAAACTCCTATCTCTTATACTAAATGATTTAATGTGTCTATCTGAAGGATCGTTATGCATCTGCTGATGAGCTTCCTATATTCGATAACACAACGATTGATTGGTTCGCTGTTAAAGGTCGTGAAGTGAGCGGATGGACAGCCATTCAATTCAAACGCTTACTAGATACTTGTGATATCATGGATGTTCCAATCAAGGTAATATCATTTGTCTTGAAATGGGAAAGTTGCTTCGACTATTGAGCAATATAATAATAAGAATACTACCACAAGCCTATGGAAACCCGACTCGAAAACGTCACAAGTGAAACCACCATGAATTGAGCCTGATAAGGTACAGCTAGTATGTTTCGGTGGTGTCTTTTTACAAGGCAAGTGGCAAAGTGGGCTCCCACGAAACTGTACTATTAGGTGCGGTTAGGGTCTAATGGCAGCTGAAACACGTAAAAGTCTGAAATTTATGAACTTGCAAGTATCTAGATTCAGAGGTCGGTGTGTGAAGCTACTGAATCAAAGTGACATCACTCATTAGTCGAAAATATCATTCGAATTAGAATAATTTTAAAATACGCACATACTAGTCGGTAATCTAGCTTTCTTTTTTATATAATCAAGAAAGATGTGTTGAGTGCGAGCACAGTTTTCATTAGTTAATACTATTCTTTTATTATAATCAATCGCTTTGTTCATTTCTAAGCATGTAATCTCTCCATGTTTAGTCTGGTACCAATATTCTCATTTTTGCTTATGCTATGATCGATCCTGTTCCATCAGGACCAAATGGTGAAATCTCTTATCATGGAAGTCGACGTGGTTCGCGTGCTCTTCCACTTCGATCATATGTTGATCCACCATCAGAAGATATATTTGCTGGACTTGACTATGTTGAATTTCGTTTGAATAATGTATGTCACATTTCAATGTGTTATCTAAATCATTATTCTTCACATCGATTCGATTCTTTTTCAGTATGTGGTTCCTCCAACTGATACAACGGATTATTGTAAAATATACAAAGTTCCGAGTAGCTATTCAGTGAAACGACACGCTATTGGTGTACGAATAGTTTTCTTATAATAAATTTTATTTTTGTCTCATTTTACATAGCATAAGACAATTGTTGATTCAGCCAGTCAAGATCTTGTTCATCATTTACTCATGTATGAATGTGATTCAACAGCTCAGTTTAACGATAATAACTTGCCTGCTGGTCTATGTGATCAAATTTATCAAGAAATAGCACAATGTACTTCGAATATTGCAAATGGTTGGGCTGTCGGTGGTGATTATGTAAGATGGAAAAGATTTTTGAAATAAAAAATATAAACAAAAAAAAATTTAACATAGATGGTTGCATTTCCAAAAGAAGCAGGCTATCCAATAGGAGGTGATTTTCCCATCAAATATTATATGGTGCAAGTGCACTACGACAATCCAAATCTACTTTCGAGTATGATATAGTATTTATATTCAATGAATATTGACAAATTATTTTCATTGTTTTATTTAGATCGTACAGACAATTCAGGTATTCGCTTTTATATTGGCAAAGAACTTCGACAATATGACCTTGGCTTGTTGACTTTTGGCACTGATTCAAGCGCTGTCGCTTTGGCCATTCCGCCGAAAGCGCAGAAATTTATCGTTGATTCGTACTGTTCAGCGAATGCTACAATGGTAAATAAGACTTTTTGTGACTATTCAACAAAATGTTCTTCATGGATACTTCTGTAGAATTTTCCTGAACAAGGTATTACAATTGTTTCTGCTTTTCCAAATACGCATTTGCAAGGTGAGTTTTAAATAAGGAAAATAGCATGGTTTTGTTGGCAATGACAAAGTTTATTCTAGGTCGAACAGTATGGACGAAGTTGGTTCGAAATAAAACAGCTGTACAGTATTTATTCGATGCCAACACATATCATTTCAATTATCAATACGAAAATTATTTACCAAAACCAATCAAATTATATCGAGTGAGATTTAATAAAATTGATTCTCATTCGAGAATCGATGTTTCTCTTGTAGGGTGACGAACTTGCGACGAGATGTATCTATAATACTATGAACAAGAAAACGATCACTTTGGTAAGAAAGATTCGATGAGAAACTAGTGTTTCCTTACGAAGCAAAAGTAACAGACGACTAAAAATTGATTTCTTTAGGGTGGAGAAAAAATCAAAGATGAAATATGTCTTCATAGGATGATATACTATCCTCGAATGAATAATATGTATGGTTGTATGAATATGAATAGTCCACAAGCATGGCTCTCAATGATGAATACTTCCTCGTCAGTTTTTTTGATTAACAAATAGTTCCTATTTTTATAAATGTGTATTTAGATCGTCTTTGAATTATACGGAATTACAACAGTGGCTTCTCAATTTAACATGGACACCAGAACGAGCTGTTCAATGGCAAGAATTCTACAATACCGTATCTCGAGTACTGATCTACGGTGCAGCACCAAATCTTCAGTTCGACATGCTGCCCAGCTTACCTAAATATGAAGATTTGAAACCGGTGCCATGTACAAAAGATCCAAGCGGTAATAAGAATACGACAAGGCCAAGTCCAACTACTTTTAGCCAAGGTACAACGACAAATAAAGCTATATCTTATGTTTCAACAATTCGCCAGGACATATTTGTTTTTCTTAATTTGATTTTGATTGTAATGACTGTCATATTCATGTGATGAATGAAATTGATTGTCAAAATAAAGTGTTTGTCCTATGGATCTATAAACTCTCTCAATAACTGTGTGTTACAGGTATTCGTCTTTACAGTGTTTATCTTCAGTTCTTCTTTTTTTCTTCATTGTTTTTTCTCATTTGTCTGTTTTCTTTCATTTGCAGTTGCTCGTTCATTTTTTTCAACATACTCTGATTATATCGATCACGATATTATCAGTCTTTTTCTTCTACCTTCATCTTAAACCATTTCTTTTTGTAATGTGACGTGCTTTTCTGTGCCCTTTGCTTTCTGATTCATCTATCAACTTCAAGCCTCCCCCAATTCTATCTTTATGTTAGAACCTTCATGCATTAGTATATATATACACTCTGTTGGACTCGAAAATGGATAGTGTGTATGTGTATGTGGGCATCCTGTGTGCAGTTTCCTCGAAAAAATCAATAAAAGCGAACAAACCTTTGAAATTTTGTATCGTGAGGAGATCGTTCTATCTCTAGTGATAAGAGATCGAACAACACGTAAGCCAAGAATGATTTTTTAGGAATGTTCATTCACACGACACGGAGTTCCAAGTTAGGATCAAGCTGAGTCTTATGGCATCATCGTTACCATTTATTGGGAGGAGTTTTTAGTTAAGAATTCCGGAATGATTCGTTATCACTATATATATACTTCATATCAGTAGCGTCGAATGTTGGTTAAAGTAAACCCCTCCCTGCATTAAAAGACCCCGGGTCTTCTATTATGTCTCGTCGTAAAAATTTCTCAGGGGGGTCTTCTATTATATCCTAGGTTTTTTAGCAATTATTAACTAAATGTGGTTTTNATGGTTTATGTGATCAAATTTATCAACAATTAGTACCATGTGCTTCGAATATTGCAACTGGTTGGGCTGTCGGTGGTGACTATGTACGATGGAAAAGATTTTCGAAATAAAAAAAAAAGAACAAGGAAAAACCCTATTTAACATAGATGGTTGCATTTACAAAAGAAGCAGGCTATCCAGTAGGAGGTGATTTTCCCATCAAATATTATATGGTTCAAATGCACTATGACAATCCAAATCTACTTTCGAGTATGAAATACTATTTATATTCAATCGATATTGAGAAATTATTTTCAATGTTTTATTTAGATCGTACAGACAATTCAGGTATTCGCTTCTACATTGGCAAAGAACTTCGACAATATGACCTTGGCTATTTGACTTTTGGCACTGATTCAAGTGCTGCTGCTCTGGCTATTCCACCGAAAGTGGAGCGATTTATCGTTGATTCGTACTGTTCGGCGACTGCTACAACGGTAAACATGAGTTTTTAATGTCTCTTAGAAAAAGTTCATCATAGATACTTCTGTAGAATTTTCCTAAAGAAGGTATTACAATTGTTTCTGCTTTTCCACATACACATTTGCAAGGTGAGCTTTAAATAAGGATGCAAGCATGGATTTGTTGGCAATAACAAAGATTATTCTAGGTCGAACAGTATGGACAAAATTGATTCGAAATAAAACAGCTGTACAATATTTATTCGATGCCGAAGCATATGATTTCAATTATCAATACGAAAACCGTTTACCAAACGTAATCAAATTATACCAGGTAAGATATAATAAAATTGTTTTTCATTCGAGAATCGATATTTCTCTTGTAGGGTGACGAACTCGCGACGAGATGTATATATAATACTATGAACAAGAATACGATCACTTTGGTAAGAAAGATTCGACGAAAACAAATTTTTTCTTACGGAGCAAAAAGTAACAGGCGATTCCATTGATTTGCTTAGGGGGGTGAAAGAACCAAAGATGAAATGTGTCTTCATATGATGACATACTATCCTCGAATGAATAATATGTATGGTTGTATGAATACGAATAGTCCACAAGCATGACTCTCAATGATGAATACTTCCTCGTCAGTTTTTTTGATTAACAATTAGTTCCTATTTTTATAAATGTGTATTTAGATCGTCTTTGAATTATACGGAATTACAACAGTGGCTTCTCAATTTAACATGGACACCAGAACGAGCTGTTCAATGGCAAGAATTCTACAATACCGTATCTCGAGTACTCATCTATGGTGCAGCACAAAACCTTCAGTTCGACATGATGCCCAGCTTACCTAAATATGAAGATTTGAAACCGGTGCCATGTACAAAAGATCCGAGCGGCAATGAGAATACGACAAGGTCACATCTAACTACTTTTAGCCAAGGTACAACGACAAATAAAGCTATATCTTATGTTTCAACAATTCACCAGGACATATTTGTTTTCCTTAATTTGATTTTGATTGTAATGACTGTCATGTTCATTTGACAAATGAGATTGATTGTCAAAAAAAGCAGTTGTCTTATGCATATCGTTCGGAATCTCCGTTAATAAATGCACAACAAAATCAATATAGATTTTATCAATTTATTAATCTTTGAAATGATAGAATCATCACTGCTATTCAACTGATAGGCCGCCTTGAGTATTCGGCCTGCTAATTGTTTTGGACTGTCTTGTTATGTCATAATAGTCAGAGATCGAAATCGGATTGAATTAGATTCTCCTTAAAATAGAGTGAAAGTTGCAGGAATCGATAACACAAACGTCTGAAATGATGTTTTTTTTCAGGTGCATTTGTATGGTACCGATATAATACTTTAATTGATGAATACAATTGAAAGCGTAGAGTACAGCATTTCATATTTTCGTCGGTGTCTTCAACAGACTTAGACCTGCTTGAATTCTGACATGTTGTTTTACTCGAATCAGCGGGTAAGCTCTCTCAATAACTGTGTATTACAGGTATTCGTCTTCACAGTGTTTATCTTACGTTCTTCCTTTTCTCTTCATTATTTTTTTCTCTTTTGTCTGTCTTCCTTCATTTGCACTTGCTTGTTCACTTTTTCAACATACTGTGATTATGTCCATCACGATAATATCAATATTTTTCTTCGACCTTCATCTCATATCATCTCTTTTTGTAATGTGATGTCTTATTCTGTACTAGTTGTTTTCAGATTCATCCATCAGCTTCAGCCCTCCGTCCCCCCCCCCCAACTATCTCTTTTTGTTAGCATCTTCATACGTTAGTATATGTATACACTCTCTTGGACTCGGAAATGAACAGTGTGTATGTGTATTGTGTGTGAGTATCTGGTGTGCAGTTTCTTCGAAATAATCAATGAAAGAGAACAAACCTTTGAAATTTTGTACCGTGGTCAGCTCGTTCTATATCTAGTGATAAGATATTGAACAGGACCGAATAGCATGTAAGTCATGAATGATTTTTAGAAACGTACATTCAAGCGAGACAAAGTTTCAAGCAAGAAGCAGCCTGAATCTTTTGTTAGCGTTGTTACCATTTATTGGGAGGAATTTTTAGTTAAGAATTCGAAAATGATTCGTTGCCACTAAGTATACGCTTCATATCAGGAGCATCGCATGTTGGTTAAAGTACTAACAACAGTCTACTGCGAAAAGCGTAAAACAACTAGCCCAATACTGTACGGCGATGTATTAACTGAAATATTGGAACATGTGGTGAAAATGATTATCCTCATATTGACAATCGTATTCCTCCACAACAAGCCCTCAACAAATTTATCAAACAATACTTCGGCGAAGTCGCTTTGTCTATTATTGGCGACAGAATACTAGGAAGCTACCATACGACCGGACGATCAACGCTCACCGATGATAATCTACTACAAAGAGAATTTACAAAACCTAGAAAAAATTGACGATGAAGAAACAAAGAAAATCTTCTAGGCAATAAGCAGTGTCGAGAGAATCGATCAAATGCTTAGAGCGAAAGACAACCCATGTAAACGAATTCCAGAAAAAAATTGACTACACAAGATTGCTTTGTGTTAAAAATCTGTAATAATGGCACTATTAAAATCCAAATTTAATCATTAAATTAAATTTGAAATAAAAAAGAATCTCATTTACTGATCAACTTTGGATTATAATAATGCCATCATAGTTGATTTTCTATCAGAAAAAAATAATTTATAATCGATTTTTAATCACGTAGAAAAAGGTCATAACCAGATTTTATTTTGTCGCTTTGTATCCATTATTACTTTTTAATTTATTTTAATAATACGTATCGAAGAAAAGTGGTTTTCTCCAGATTCGAACATGAACTCCCTCATTGTCCATGATTATTAGAATTGCTCGTGTTCGTAGACTATAAAGTTGCTACTGAACCGGAGTCACACAAATGTACGTTGTAAAGTTGGAACTCCTATTTAATTTACTTTAAATTGATATGATATAATTACAGTAGAAATTGATTAAAATCTATTAGAGTACAATAAATCAGTTAAAATTGATTTCATTTTTAATTGATTATTTACACTATTGTAAACCATATGGACTTTAACGGACTATGTTCTCAATCACTTATAGTCGATTCGATTCTTCGTCGATTACTGGAGAATTCAAATATATTTTCGAAGAAAATATAGTGAATGGAAATTGGGATCGAGGTTTTTGTGATTTTCCATCATCCCGAAGTGAACAGCCACACTACAAAATATTTTTCTTGAACTTTCATTTTCTAAGTTGCATAACGGGCAAAAACGTTGAGTAGTATTTCATATAAAAGCGCATTAAGCGCGCTACAAAACACATGTATACTTGTTATTAAAAACCCTTTGCTCCAAAATGTTTTATCAAAAATACTGGAAAATTGTTTGCTTCTGACCTTTGCTTTCTGTCCAATGTGTCCCACCCTTTCTCTAGGTCCCAGCAACTGCGGGTGGGAACTCAAAAATTATAGGATACGTTTCCATAGTAATGGGCGAGAGAGCAACAATCATAGGATACGTGCCCCTAGGAAGGGGGAAACGCGTGTCAGTAACAAGAGTCCCTGAACCATTCCCAAACTTTCTAGAATCTCCCAAAGAATTCAATGAATGTGAGATTTCTAATATATATTCTAACTAGTCTATATATTGTGGCTTTTGGTATCTGATGCGAAGAGAGGATCTTATTGCAGGTGTCAATCAGTATGGCAGTGGTATGATTGATTTAGCAGAGTCAGAATAGGACAAACACTGAACAGTATGAAATAGTTGGATTTTAAGTTTAGAAAAAAACTCAATAGTATATGCTAAAGTTCGCTCAGAGAAAAGATGGTGTGCTTAATAGCTTCTTCAACGATTATGTCAATGTGTATATCATTGTAATCTAGTGCTTGAACTAACGGAATGGAGAATTAAATGATATTTGTTGCCTCGTAATATCATGTATCGTCTGTATTATCATTAGGGGAAAAGAAGGTCATTTTGGAGGTATATGTCACAACATAAATAACTATTTTCAGTATAACGATATTGAATGAATCTAATAAATTGGTGGAATAGAAATTCTAAATGAAAACATTTTTGAAATGCTAAAATTTCCGAGCAAGTGCAACAATTATACAAACGGTATCATCTCCAATTATTAATTTATCTAACTGTTTTAAAATAAATTATTTAAATCTCTCTAGCAATATACCATAAATCCATAAGAGTCAGATTTTATGCATTATATACTGTTGTTCCTCATGGGGCTGTGCTCGCAAGTTTTTCAGATTATTCTAAGAGACTCAGATTTTAATAGACTATTCTTTAAAGCGATTAAAAAGTTTTTGATTCTTACTCGAGTATTTAGATAATTCTAGAGAAAATGAATTTTAATAGATTATTCTTGAAATCAATTATAATCGATTTGAGTTTTAATCGATTATTTAGAGTATGTGCCGAAAAATTGGTTTTAATTGATTATTGACTAGAAAAAATCAATTTTAATCTATTATTTTGTTGATTTTAACCAAAATATGGTGTATTTGATCGGAGTTTTGCCAGAAAATCAATTTTAATCTGATTTTTAGACCGTTTTTACATGGGTTGTCCTGATTATTTTTCAACATGAATCAAAAGTTTATAACGACTGATCTCGTTACAGCAAACTACACATTATCTCGAACTAAATATATTCGAATGTATTAAGATGAGTATGAGCTCACAATCTACTGGAGCCAATAAAAAACGATGCCTCTATCGCTTTTGGGATGCTGACTGGGAGCTTTTGCATCAGTCTATAACAATTCCAAATTTTGGAAGCAGTTGCTGTAATACCTCTAGTTGTATCTATATGACTAGCAACCATCCTTCGACCCAATATTGAAAAAAAATGTTTAACTGCCCCAATAGAATTACGAGGTTGAAAATTACGAATCAGTTGATGAATAATGAATTAGCTTCTATGAAAACTTTATGCAATGCGCTGAGAATCACATGATCAATGTCTCTTTTTTCGCTCTTAACTCT